CTTTGAAATTTTCTGTTCAGCTCTTGTACCTCCTCATTTCTTCCATTTGCTTTAGCATCTCTATGCTGGAGAGCAAGTTTCAGTGTCTCTTCTGACATTCATTTTGACGTTTTCCTTCTTTCTTGTCTTCTTAATGACATTTTGCTTTCTACCTGTATGATATTCTTAGTGTCATCCCCCAACTCTTCTGGTCTTCAGTCTTTAGTATTTAATGTATTGAATCTGTTCTTCAGATGATCTCTAAATTCATGTGGGATATATTCAGGGTTATATTTTGGCTCTTGTGGACTTGTTTTCATTTTCTTCAGCTTCAATTTGAATTTGCATATGAGCAATTGATGGTCTGTTTCACAATCTTCCCCTAGCCTTGTTTTGACGGATGATATGGAGCTTTTCCATCATCTCTTTCCGCAGATGTAGTCAATTTGATTTCTATGTTTTCCATCTGGTGAGGTTCATGTGTATAGTTGTCTCTTATGCTGTCTAAAGAAGATATTTGAAATGAACAAATCCTTGGTTTTGAGGAATTCTATCATGCGTTCTCCAGCATCATTTCTGTCACCAAGGCCGTATTTTCCAACTACAGATCCTTCCTTTTTGCTCCCAATGTTTGCATTCCAATCACCAGTAATCATCAATACATCTTGATTGCATGTTTGATCAATTTCAGATTGAAGAAGTTGGTGGAATTCTTCTATTTCATCCTCACTGGCTTTAGTGGTTGGTGCACAAATTTGAATAATAGTGGTATTAACTGGTCTTCCAGGCCTGGGCAGTATTTCATTCTGTTGTACACAGGGCCACTGTGAGTCAGAACAGACTCGATGGTATCTAACAATTACTATCAGTATTTCTGCAACTTGAAAATACTCCTAAAATGTGATTACATAGTCTTTAGATCAATTTAAGCATCTGTTGTTGTTGTAAAGTGCTGTTGAATCAGTTCCAACTCATTACGACCTTGTATAGGGTTTCCAAGGAGTGGCTGAGGGGTTTGAACTATTGACCTTGCAGTTAGCAGTACAGTATTTATCCTACTGTGGCACACCAGGACTCCTCACATCCTATAGATAAGGGGTAGGGGATCTTTTTTCTGCCAAATTTATAACATAATTTGCAGACCATGCAATATTATCAGCTCAAAAATTAGCCTGCTATATTTGGTCAAATATTGAATTAACTCAGCCCTAATGTGTGGTGCTGTGGGTTAATGCACCAGACTGCAAACTCATTTGAACTGTAAGGTTGGTGGTTCAAGCTTACCAGCTACTCCTTGGAAACGCTATACAGGGTCGCTATGGGTTGGGACCGACTCAATAGCACTTCACAACAACAACAAATGTGATGCCTGAGTCCTGGTGTGGTGCTGTGGGTTAATGTGCCAGAATGCAAAGCTGTTTGAACTGCAAGGTCAGCAGTTCAAGTTCACTAGCTGCTCCTCTGAAAATCTATACAGGGTTGCTATGGATTGGAACCAGTTCGATGGCATTTAACAACAACAACATTGTGATGGCTGGAACTGCGGTTACCTTGGCAGGGTCAGACAAATGATTTTACAGGCCTTATACAGTCTGCGGGTTGGATGTTTCCCACCCCTGCTATAGATGAACATTACAGAGAGAGGCCTGGTGGCACCATGGTTAAGTTCTGACCTGCTAACCGAAAGGTCAGCGATTGAATGGAACCACAGGAGAAAGATTCTGTAACTATCATAGCCTCAGAAACCAGACGGGAGCAGTTCTTCCCTGCCCCATAGGTCGCCATGAGTCAGCCTGAACTCAATGGCAACAGGTTTGGTTTCGGTTACGTGAATAAATGCATCATTCTTCCTCTCCATGTATAAACACAAAACACTTGAACAAATGATTCCTGCTATATTGAAAAACAAAAAAAAGTGTAATTTTCTAACAGTGGAAAATGCCCAGCCCCACAGATGGCATTCTAGCCCATAACACATGTCAGCCTGGACGCTTGGGGAGGCAGGCAGGCGTTCACACTCATCATCTTGGGCTCTCAGGAAGCCCATGCTTAGGGCTGCTACTATGGCCCCTACTGTAGATGACGAAGCAGGGGCAGAGAAAGTGGCTTGTTAAGCATCACTTCAGAGATAGCGAGTGGCAGAGCTGGCACTCAAACCCATGACATCTAACTCCAAGTTGTGCACACTTTTTGCTGCACTCCAGTGATCAGATTTTTCAATAAAGGAAAAATGATTTAAAATGGAGCGATCAAAATACCCTACATACCATGGGTAAAAAAGCAAACACCCCACTGTTGTCAAGTTGATTCTGACTCACCCTATCTCACTAGGACAGAGTAGAACTCCCCCATAGGGTTTCTAAGACTGCAAATCTTTATGAAAGTCAGCTTTCTCATCTTTTGCTCAAAGAGCAGCTGGTGACCTTTCAGCTAGCAGCCAGATACTTTAGCCTCTGCACCACCACATTTCCTTACACCATGGGCAGAAATGTCATAGAGTGGGTATAGCACAGTTTCCATTGTAGAATATATGTACTGGGTATATTATGAGTGTTCATCACACAATTGTTTCTCTTTTTTATATGTTTGAAATTTTTTTTAATAAAGTATTAGAAAACAACAACAAAATAAAGCCCAGGCTGTCTGCACTAAAACATCATCCTATTCAACAGCACACAGTGCAAAGCACTACACGGAAGTTTTTAAACATTGCAGCTATTCAGTGATGCTTTGGATCATCCAGAGTTCCTCCTGTTTGTGTGTGGAGGGAAGATGAGGCTCTTTTGAGTGGCAGTGGTCTTTCTCCCAGAGTTGTGCTAGGCCTAGGTGGTCCTCACCATGAGGGGACGGGTGTTTGGAGAGGGACACCCCTCCCCTGGTGGGAGGGTTCTTGTTACCACCTTTGGAGCAAGGTCAGGCTAGATGTCCTAGCTGGGATATGGGGAAGGCCATTGCCACACTTTTCTTCCTTCTTCCCAGTGATACAGTGGCACCCAGCTCGACATTCTGCAAGGTCTACACCTTGACCCCCTTCCTGGCCAACAACCGAGAGAAGCGGGGCCTTGCCCTGGATGGGAAACTCAAGCATGAAGACACCAACCTGGCTTCCAGCACCTTGTGAGGACCCACCCACCTCCTCTGACCCTGATGCCCGACCTTCCTGTGGGCACATGTTCTGCTTGATCCCACCAGTGCTAAGACAAGACTCTGGCTCCCTTCTGCCCCCAGTGTCATCCAGGGCCTGCCCTCAGGGCTTAAACCATCAGGGAGGCTGTCCCCTACTCCTACCTGATCTCAGGGATGACCTGGAGAACAAGATGGACCATTAACCCGGGCTCTCTCACTTGATGCAGGGCCCTGCTGGCTTGTCTGAGGGAGGGCAACCCAGAAAGGTTTCCTGCAGGAGGCAGCAAAGATCCCGGTCAGATGGGCCGCATCCCCGAGAACAGGATATGAAGAGTCTGGGAGAGGTTTGGGGAGTCTGGAGACAAGAGGGCTGTGAGCTGGACAGGGCCAAATGTGGAAGGTGCTTTGGAGTCAGGGACCCCAGTCTCTGGTCACTTCTGCCCCAGGCATCACTGGCTCTTTCTGAGGTCATCCTGCTCTAGTGGCCATGGGATCCCATTTCACGCTACACACTGAGATCTGGCCCTTCAGTGAGGCTTTGGTCTGCCTCTGCAGCCTCCTGCCCTGCCCACCACTCCTGACAGACACCCTCTACTCCAGCCCGTGCACATGCTACCCACTTACCTCTAAGCCTTTTGTCATCTTCGCCACGCCACCCTGGTTCAAATCCTGCCTGCCTCAAGACCTAGTTTAAACACCACCTCCTGTGAGAAACCCTCCCTGAGTGCCCATCCCCCACCCGACCCCACCACCCTCTCTGAACTCCCAGTCTAGCTTTTTGTGCCTGGTTACTGGGCAAAAACCTTCCAGAGAAGCAAGATCTGAGAGTAGGTAGGATCCTTCCCCTCATCATCCTGAACACAGGCCAAGAGAAAGGCAGAGATTCCCGCCAGTGGATGTCACCGTTCAATTTCCAACCCAAGGTTCCTTGTTCTTGCTCCTGGAGGGCAGAGCCCACCTTTCTCACCTCCTTATACCCTGGACTATGCCTGGGTATGGTGGCTGAGTGGCCCAGGAGAGGGAGGGTGCTGTTTCCCACTATACCCCCACTTCTGCCATGCTTCACCCACCCAACAAGCACTCATTAACCAGCTTCCCAAACATTGCTTTGCAGGTTGAGGGAAGGAGCTAACCGGGAGATCCTGGGGATCATTGTCTCCTACAAAGTGAAAGTGAAGCTGGTGGTATCTCGGGGCGGGTGAGTGCTCCAGCCTAGCCCTAGGTCTCCAAATCCAGGGGGAGCACCCCTGATAGCCACAGCCTCCTGCCCTGTTCAGCCTGTGGGGCCGTTTATCTTCATCTCTAGTCAGCGGGTGAACTGGGCTTCATGACTTCCTGTCCCATCTCTTCCTCATCTTCTTCCACTTCCTTCTCCCCTCCCGACCTCTTTTGCTCTTATTCAGAGGGCCTCACTCCTCTCCTGTCCCTCCCATCTCTCTCTCTTCTCCCCCACCTTATCCTGGGTTTTGCATTGAGGTTTGGGCATGGGATGGGGGCTTCCCCAGTGGGTGCTATGCCTCTCATCACACGTCCTCAGACATAGAACCCACCACTGCCTTCAGGGGGAGTCCTGGTGTGGCGCTGTGGCTTAATGCACCAAACTGCAAAGCTGTCTGAACTGCAAGGTTGGTGGTTCAAGCTCACCAGCATCTCCTTGGAAACCCTATACAGGGTTATTATGGATCGGAACTGACTTGATGGCACTTAACAACAATAGCAATTGCCTTCAGTCTCAGCCAAAGGAGCTAAGACTCCCAGAGCTGGATGAGAGATATTCTAGTCTGAAGTGTCCATTTTTACAGATGTGGAAACAGAAGCCCAAATAATTCTAGTCATTTCCTGAAATCTCCTTCCTTAATCTCAGACCATGGGCTGGTTGCTGGAGACACAGAAATAGACCAGCCATATCATCTGCCCTGGACCATAGTCTACGTCTATTAAGATTTACAGCCTTGGAACCCTATGGGGCAGTTCTGCTCTGTCCTATACATTTTCTATGAGTTGGATGGAATCCACTCAATGGCAACAGATGTGGTTTTTATTATTGTTGTTGTTAAGGGCCGTCGAGTCAGTTCCAACTCATCAACCTGTATAGGGTTTCTGAGGAGCGTTTGGTGAGCTTGAACCACTGATCTTTTGGTTTAAACTGACCTTGCAGTCCAGTGCATTTTCCCATAGTGTCACACAGGACTAGGGTTTTTATTATGTTGTTGTTGTTAAGTGCCATCAAGTTGATTGAGACTCATAACGACCCTATATAGGGTTTCCAAGGAGTGGGCTGGTAAGCTTGAACCCTCGACCTTGTGGTTAAAACTGATCTCATGGTCTAGTGCTTTATCCCACAGCACCACACTAGGTTTTTAAAATTGTTGTTGTTGTTGTCAAGTGCCATCGAATCAGTCTGACCCATAGCGACCCTGTATAGGGTTTCTGAGGAGCAGCTGGTGAACATGAACCGCCGACCTTGCAGTTCAAACTGACCTTGCAGTCCAGTGCATTAACCCACAGTGCCACACCAAGACTCCACCTCAAAATCCAAAATCCCAAATCCCCAATCCCCATGTCTATGATCTTTGTAAGACCCATAGTCTTCTGAACGCTTTCCACATCTTTTTGGTCTCCCCAGGGACAGGCAGCAGAGGGGTTTTGTTTTTGTGCCTCCTTTACAGATGAGGACCCTGGGGCTCAGCGAGGACTCAAAAACTGTCCGGAGTAGAGGTGTGGGCGGGGTGGGGGTGGGTGGGCAGGGGTCTCAGTGCCCCAGGGCAGGACTAATGCTATTTCTGTGTATCTCAGAGAGACCTGCCTGCACTGCGCAGGGTGTGGTGGGAGGAGGTTCTGTGTTTTCTCTATCTTACTGGGCAACAGAGGCCGTGAATGAACATGCTTTCTATTTTCTCCTTATCTGAACTCTCTCCTGACTACTTCTTCCACCTCCTCTGATCCACCCAGCCTGTTGGGAGATCTTGCATCCAGGTAAAGCCCCTCCCTTCTACTGGTGGAGAGCCCAAAAGCCACAGATAGATAGCCTGATGGTCTAGAGCTATAGGACACTGGGGTTAGAGGAAATTTTAGCAGTCATTCTAGATTGCCAGGCTAGAACCCTTTCCAGAAGGAGTAGGGAGACTACCGTTTCTCCTTAAAAAGCTTCAGCCTGTTCTTCCAAGCTATCTACAGATTGCAAAGACCAATTTCATTGGTTGGGAGTGTGGCCTCCGAGGACACGGTTGGAACTGCTGATTGAATTATAGGATGTTTGGGAGGAATGCACGCTTTGTGGCTTACAAAACTAACAAGAACTGATGGAGTGTTGTTAAGGCAAGGTCCTTAGGAGATCTGTTTCTGTCAATGAGATTCCATTGTAGGCAGTGGGATCCACTTGCATACCAAACTCGGTAGTTTTGCCTTCTCCTGTCACAAGATGATACTGTTGCTCATCACAAAAAATCACAATCCAATTTAAGAGGTGAAATCAATTCAGTTCATTTCAGTTCAGTATAAATCAGCAAAGAGTTCCTGAGCCCAGACGTGTGTCCAGGCTCGTGCTGGGTGCTGAGGTCCCAGAGAAGAATCAGGAATGACCCCTGCCTGCCTTTGATCACTCCTGGTCTGGTGGCAGTTGAAGACCCAGAGTCTACCACCCCATATGGTTTTAGTAAAAGTTTGCAAGTTCTTTCTTCCTCCAACTGCCATTCGGATAACTCACTCTTTCAAGTCAACCTGAAGAAGCAATCTTTGTTGGAAGTTAAAAAGAAGAAAAAAAGAAAAACCAAATTGTTTCGACAGCCTTATGAAACTTACGGAGGCGAGTAAAGAGTCCCTTAGGTAGCAAAATGGGTGGTTTGACTTCATCCAGAGATGCCTTGGAAGTCAGACCTAGGATCTGCTTCTGAAAGGTCACACCATCAAAAACCTTGTGGAGTTCTACCCACACATGGCAACTACCTACAACAAGGATATCACCAGGCATGAGTTTCACAGTTGAACCAAACCTTTTGCCTGCCTCATTCCCCAGAAGTTCCAGGGATTCTAGAAAGCACAGTGTTGCTGTCCCCATTTTCCTGATATGTTCAGTGAGAGGCAAAAATATAAAGTGCCCCAGTAGGTGGTGGGGTTGGTAGAGCAGACTCTTCTGGTTGCATAGCTGTTCTCCTGACCACGGTGCCCCTTCCTCCTCCCCAGTGGGCCTTGAGCACCAAGATCAGTGAGATGTGGTGAGTGCCTTTGGGGCATCACAGTTGGGAGAGCCTCCTAGAGCAACATCACCCCAAAGCAAGAGAAGGAGCCCTCAAGGACTGTTGTTGGCAGTGTGGAGACCACAGGGTGGGGAATACCTTCTTCACTCTGAGCTTCTATCCCATAGCAGTTCAAGGTACACATCGTGGAGCCAGAATCCTAGGTCTGCCATTTACCTTTAAAAGCTGTGTAACCTTGAGCAAGATACTTTCATTTCCTCATGCCTCGGTTTCTCCATGTGTACATTGGGGATTACAATAGGGTTGTGAGGATTCAACAAGTTACTCAAAGAGGGGACTTGGCATACAGTAGGCACTCTGTGAATGTCTACTGTTGTTATTATCTGTCCTTCAAGACCTGGTCAGAAGCACTGGCTGGTGGCAACATATCCCCTGCTTTTCCTAGGCTTCATGTCTTTGTGCTTAATGTAGACAGCCCTGGGGGGAGGGGGGATTTAACTTGACTTTCATTGAGTGAACTGACCTGACAGTGCTTCGTTCACATAGCAGGGGCCTAGACTCACCTGAGAATCTTTATAGGAACCTCCTGGAGATGGAGTTTCTGCCCGCTGACTGGGAGATAAGATGGGGTGAGGGTGGGAGTAGTTCCTATCAGGAAGTTGGGAAGGGCAGTGTCAGGGTGGTGGCAGCAATTTAAGGCAAGTGGGTTCCCAGGGCGGCTTTGCAGCCACCGTCCACCAGGTACACATTACCCTGGGCAATCTTCCTCCTCCCAGCCTCGTGGAGTCCAGGAATCCTTCTCAGAAAAGGGACTAGAGGCCACATTTCATGACTCCCGGCCCAAAGCTGCCTCCTCTGACTATGAGACCAGTCCTCAGACTGGTTGAATCTCACGGGGTCTGGGTCTGTCTTTCAGTGACGTAGCCGTGGAACTGCCCTTCACCCTGATGCACCCCAAGCCCAAAGAGGAACCCCCACATCGCGAAGGTGAGCAGTGACCAAGAGTCACTGGGATGGGATTTGCAGATTGCAGCCCTCCTCCCTCTGGGTTAGCCTAGCATAGCATCACCGCTTTCCCTCAGCAACCCAGGGCCTTTTATTGGACCCACAATCCCTTCTGTGACCTCACCAGGAAACAGAGAAGCCTGGTTGTTATTCTTTGCTTCTGACTCTACTGCCCCCCAAAGGGGCTACACAAATAAGATGAGTCCTGGATGTACCCTCTCCATCATTCCCCCGGTGATTCAGATTACTCCTATTTCATTAAGTCTAGAACAGTTTCAAGGAGCTCTGGTAGCACAGTGGTTACGAATCGGGCTGTGAACCGCAAGGTGAGCAGTTCAAAACTACCAGCTGTTCCGCAGGAGAAAGATGAGGCTTTCTGCTCCCGTAAAGATTTACAGCCTTGGAAACCCTGTACAGGGTCGCTATGAGTTGGAATCGACTCCACGTCACATAACAACAACAGAACAGTTTCAATGGAAAGAGACACGATACTGTGTACCACAAGGAAAGAAAAATTCCCCTACAATAAAACCATGAAATGCCAAGGATTGTAAAAAACAAAATCCTAATTTCAGAAATCTTAAAATATAGGAAAAAAGTGTTTATGTTAGTGTTAGTGAAAGGCATGCATGCATGGGGGAAAAATAGTCTAAGCTAAGTGGGAGACCTTGTTAAAAGGAGCAGGGGTTAAGAGGGCGCTCTCTGAATGGACTTCAAAGGTTCATGGAAACATTCCATTTTTCCACTAACTTTTCGAAGCCCCCTCATTTGGGGGCTGAGGTGCGGTGGGCATCCTCCTCCCCAGGCCCTCCCCCTGCCCTTAGACCAGGAAGGAGCACCTTCTCCTTCTTCCTTTGCTCTCCCTTTCTTAGCCTGGTTGACCCGAGGTGGGGAACCTGCACCCACCTGCCCCCTTGCCCACCCACTCACTAACCACTCAACGCCCCTCCCGCCCTGTGTTTAGTTCCAGAGAACGAAGCGCCAGTAGATACCAATCTCATAGAACTTGACACAAAGTAAGCCAATTGCTGCCTGCAGACGTCTGGGGGTGGGTGGGCCTCGGGCGGGTGGTGTGGAGGGGTCATTTGCATATATACTTATTAACCTCTGAGGAGCAGCTGGTCTAACCCCATCTGCTGAGATCCGCCTCTGCCCGCCTCTTCAGCAACCCGCTTGCCTGCATGTGACTTGAAGACCTTCCGTGCCTGTTACTCTTCCTCCTGCCTTGGTTTGATCTGTCTTCCTTCCTCGTCCTTGCACGCCCGTCCGTCAGTCCATCAGTCCATCCGTCCACCCACTGCGCCTGCCCGGCTCACGCGGGGCTGGCACAAGGTCCTGGACTCGGACTCTTCTGTCCCGTCCACCTCCAAGCAATGGAATCAGGCCATGGGGTGGGAAGGTTCCAGGATCTAGTTGCTTCTGCCTTCTGCGGATTTCCCTTCGGTAAAAGGCTACCTTGTCACCAGACAGTGGCCGGAGCGGGAGGATCTGGGCTGGCGTAACAAACCACCTCCAGGGCGAAGCGGTGGTTTTCTCAATCCAGCACCAAAGTCACCCTCAAGAGAGATCTGGGGTGTGGGGTCTTGAGTCACTCCACAAAGTCACTATGTAGCTGCCTGAACTCCGTGGGTAGAGAACTTGGGCTTCCTGGCTGGTTCTAAGTTGACATATTTAGTGGTAGAAGAGAACCCACTGTTCTTAGAAACAGTTAGTATTGAAACCCCACTCAAGCACTCTTTCCCCCACGCCCCTGTTCTCTGCTCTCCTCTTTAGATCGCTCCACCTCTAGCTAACACTTCTGGGGAGAAAAGATTCCATGGTTTTCTCTTGCATTAAGCCAAGCCATTCCTTCTTGTTCAGAAACAGGAATGTTTCCCAAGAGCAGTTGTAGGTGAAGGGGTGCTTGGGCCTGTTCTTGGGGAGTTCAGAATATGCTGTGAAGGCACTGGTGGCTTGGAGTTGGAACGACTTCTTTCTCTGATCCTCAGCCCCACACAGAGCCACACAGCAGTTCCCATTTAACAATTCTCTCCTCCCCACTCCTGGAGAACCAGTTTACTTTTCCAGCCCTTGAGCATGAAAGTCAAACTCAGGCCATGCTATGCCATTTCCACAGCTGGAGTCCAGAAGTGACCACTCCTCTCCCACCAGTGGGCACCCAGATGTGCCAGCCTGGAAGGCCTTCTGCCCAAGGCCAGCCTTAGAGGCTGTATTTAGACCAGGAAGAGTGTGATGAGTGAGTCCTCAGTCAGCCAGGACAGCCAGGCTGGCCCCCTGACCCCTCTGGGTATGTCTACCCTCCCAGCCCCTGCAAACACACCCTGTTTTCCTTGTTTCTCCCACCAGTGATGACGACATTGTATTTGAGGACTTTGCCCGCCAGAGACTGAAAGGCATGAAAGATGACAAGGAGGAAGAGGAGGATGGTACCAGCTCTCCACAGCTCAACGACAGATAGACTGGGGCCAGGCCCTCCCTCTGGGCAGCTCCAGGTCCTCTCTCTTGCACTCGGATGCTTATTCGTCTTCTTCCTGTTCTGGATCCCCATTCCCTTTGTTCTTCCAGTTTCTACCAGGGGCCCCAGTGGTCTTTCAGGTCATGATGGTGAACCTCTGGCCTCAGGACTGACCCCACAGCCTCCAGGGCCACAGTGAACCCCCCTTAATCCCCTACCTCCTAATATCACCTCCTTTTCATACTCGCCTCCAGAAAGGCCACGGCAAGCCCTGGCCTTGGAATTTGAGTAGAGTTGGGGAGCAGAAAGGGGAGGAAGGGCAGGGGGTCATGGTGATGGTGGGCAGGAGGTTTGGAGGGATACGATGAGGGCTAATGACACATGAGAGCATGTCCACAGTCCCAGGTGGTCACCACAGATCTGGCAGCTAACAGATGACCACACTGAAAGCTACCTGTTTGCAGAAGAGGTCACTGGAGGAACCCGGGTTTGCAGTTCTGGCTGGGAAGGGGAGACTTCTAGGGAGACTCTCAATGCCTTTTTGTAGTCCCCGACCTATTAAAGACATCCACCCTCAACCCCTACTCCTGCCCCATGTCCCTCTGTGTCTGACAGTGGCATTAGTGAAGGCCTATAGACCCTAGGAATAGAGAAAAGGAATCAGACTGACTCCCTTACCAGGAGTTACCTAGTCTAACGCAAGTGTACCTGCAGTGTTTTTTTCTTATTTCTTATGTTTGTGGGTACATATTTG